AAACCTTCCCCCCACACTAAAATTTCCTATTTTTAACATAAAAAAAATTTTAGAAACCAAAAACTATTTATTTAAAACCCTTTTAGAAACATAGCAAATATAAATACTAAATTTGCAAAATCTTGAAAAATACATTTTACCTTAAATGATGCTACTGAGATGTAGGTTTTGGGCTTGCTCGTTTTTTATAAAGAGTTTTTTATTCGAAATTAAATTCGATATCAATTTTACTTAAATTTTTAATGAAATGTGTTACCTTTAGATAATAAGGAAAATTTAGTTTTAAAAGAAAGTATTAAGGTAGATAAAAGTTTTTGGGACGGTTGTAGAAAAGCGATTATAGCATAGTGGAAGGTGGGAGAAACCCAAAGAGTGGAGTTTAGCATAGAGTAGGGTAGTATTAAGTATTAGCAGTAGTAGGGGGGCATTGTTTGTAGTAAAAAACAGATGTAGTAGAGCTAGCAGTATTTTTTCATTTTTTTTTCTTCTTTTTTTCTGGGCACCCAAATAGCAAATTATAAAAACATTTTTTTTAATTTACATGTATTAAAAAATAATAAATTTACCCAAGGCATGACTGAAATTATTTTGTAAATTTAGGACTGAGAATATTTTTTTTTATTACCAGTTCGTAAAAAAATACTTTTCATAATTAAAAATTAATAATTTTTAATGATTCCATCATCGCATATTTTTATGATGTAATAGCCCTTGTTTTTAGGAATCGCCTTTTTTTTTCATTTCAGCAATGGCTTTTCAAACTAATTTTTTTAAAGTTTTAAAAATTCACGAATTTTGGTAGGGTTTTCGGTTTTTCTTTTTAAATATAAAAATTTATCTAAGAGTAAAATAATTTTAATGCATTTTGATATATATTTTTTTGAATATTCACATTAAAAAAAGACGTTTGTATGATACCAATTTTGTCGAAAATTTTTTGTTTGTAAAATTCCGATTTACCCCAAAATGGTTATTTTTTGCCCAAAAAAATTACTTTAGTTTCGGGGGCCGGTTGCAAAAATGAAACATTGACTCCACCTATTATATTTAAAGATTTTTTATTTTTTAATATTTAATTGAAAACTTTGAAGTTTGGATCAATGTTGTTTTTTATTTTTTAGGGAAATATTTTTCCATAAAAATTTCCTGGATTCAGCTTCCCATTTTTTTTTTGATGATTTTTGTTTTTTTCTTTTAATAGCATAGTATAAAAAAACCCCATTTTTAATTTGGGGTTTTAATTTAAAATTTAAGTAGTTATTAGCTTTTATGTACCCCTTTCAGATTTTTTTTTCCTTTTTTTTGGGAGCTTTTTATGATTTATGATATTTAAAAAGTTTGATTTAGCTATGCCATAAAGGTTTTGGATTCGTTAAAGCTTAAAATTGTTTTTTCCTATAACGATATATTCCATAAGTTTACGCCTTTTCCACCCTTTCACAAAAAAAAGGTTTTTCTTTTTTATATTCGTGTTTTTTCCATATAATTTCTTTCCCAACACATTTTTTTTTTATTAATTTTGCATACGCCACACTGTGAGTTTTTTTAAAAAGAAGATTTATATCAAATTTTAATACTTTTTTGTTTTGATTTCATTTAAATAAATTTTTTCCATTCTATTTAACATATTTTTTTAATTAAACCCCTTTTGAAAAGTTCTGCAATTTAATGCGTTTTTAACCCAGGAGCATTTTTAAGGGAAGTTAAAAACTTTTAATATCTAACATTTTTTTGCCCCCCATTTGGGAAACTTGAATAATCTTATCTCTTATTTTTTTCTGGTTTTGTCCCATAAAAGTTAACATGAGTTTTTATTTTTTTAGATTTCTTGGCGGGGTTTTGTAAAAAATTAGAGGATAATAAGTTTTTTGAAAGTTATTTTTTAAAAAAAAACTTATTTTTCCCTCGTTTTCCTTACAAAAATTTGATGAAATCTTTCAGTTTAGTGTTAAATTAGTATTAAACATTTCGTCATGTTATTAGGAAAGTTTTCGACGGCTAGTTTTTTTAAGCCAGTTTTAAATTTTTGTCATTGCCAATTGTTATATTTTTAAACTTTCCCAAATTTTTTAAAAAGACATTTTTCTTTATTTAAATTTTAAAGGCCTGATAATTTTAAAAAAAATATGGAAATAAGTTTAAAAGATTTTTTCTCCCCAGTATAAAACTCACAGGCAAAATTTTTTTTTTAATGTTTCCTACATATTTATAATCTTTTGCCCCTTTTTATTTTTTTTTTGGTAACTTCATTAGAGAGTAAATTTTATACAATATAAATGGTAGGGATAGAAAACCCTTTCTAAAGCCTTTTTTTATTTTAAAGAAATGGATAGATGCCTTAATGTATCACGATTTTGCTCTTTATAAACGGCCCCCAATTATAATAGATGAGGGAAATTTAAATTTTAATAACATTTTTCTGAAATTTTGGTCAAGACTATCAAAAACTTATTAAAAAAAAAAAAATATTTCCACTTTTCCCCCCAAAATATCTCCGATAAAAACCCGTTTGTTGGGGCGATAAATTTTTTAAGGGTTTTTATTTTATTTTTCAAGGTTTTGGCAATTTGTAATCTACTTTGCAAAAAGATGGGACGCCCAAATTTTTTATGAAAAATTAGTTTTTAAGTTCCGTAAGATTTTCCTTACATAAGTGTTTAAAATTTAAAAAATATTGTTTTTTGATCATTCCAAAAAATTTTGTAAAAATCACAGTTATCCCTCACTTTTCAGGACTTTTGTTATTTTTCATGTCTTTAAGAGCAATTTCTTCATATTCATTATTTTGTTCTAAAGTATTTATTTCATTTGCGAAAAAGATAGACATATTGAGACATATTTTTATTGCACGAATAAATGTATTAATATGTTTTGTTACAAAAAAATATGACAGAAGTGTAACTGATGCTGACTAAAAAGCTTCTTGATAACACTTTGAATTTCTTAAACTTGCGGAGGCTATTAGAAAGTATCCGGGAAGGTTTCATATTTTGTTCATTTGTGCCTTTATCGTGATAAAATATTCGTCACAAATACTTTCGGGAATTATGCTTATGGTCTGACAGCAAAACTAAAAACTATTTATACTTATGTGTTACCAACAGTCACTATGGCGACGTCGTATAAAAATGGCGTTCATTTTTCCATAAATGGACAGAAATTCTATGAAACGAAAACAAAACTATTTACGAAAAAATGTTTGCTCTTTATAGAACGATTGTTTATTGTACCTTTTTCCTATTACTTATGTGGTTGGTCCAACAAACGTTGCAGTGTTGTTACATTGTCAACAATTAAAAAATTAAAATTAAAATAAGTAAATTAAATGTGTTATAACCCCAAAATTGTTTCCTCTATTTTTAAAAAGTAAAAAAAAATTAAATAAAACAATTTTTTATAATAAGGATATTCAGCTAAAAACCTTTTTTAAGGTTAAACATGTACTTGACATCGCTGCATTTTATTTTGTTGAGGAACATTTTATTATTCATTCTATTCAGGCACAGATTTCTTGTGTTTTAAATTTCAGAAACATTCCATGTTACAACTCTTTCGACTATTCCCCATAAAAAACAACATAATTTTTCCGTATTTTAAATACAAATATTTTAAACATTTTTGTTAGATAGAAATACAATCCTCTTTATATTTCTATGGAGTCGACAATATACAAAACTATGTTACACCTATAAAAGGCTACGATTTTTACCTTTCCGATGTTCCATTGTCATGACATTCTGAAAAAGATAGGCTTTTTGGTAAAAGTAATGCTACGAAAGTTATTATCAATAATTAATTAAAATGAATATCAAATACATTAAAAATTTACTAGACGAAGAAAGCACAAAACAACAGTTGAACACTACTACTACAAATATTTAAAAATAAAATCAGTACACTTTCAGAATTTCCAACACGTAATGCTTCAACAGAAATTAATATTGGATCAACCAAAGCTCGTATTCATTTTCAGAGCTTACCAGAGCGATTCCAAAATATCCAAAAAAAATCCATATTACACCCACATAGGCTTATTGTCATTTTATGGGTCCAAATGTTTTATATCACATCTAAATTACACCCCTCCATATCATCGTTTAAATTTCTTTTGATCCCAATAATCTTTTTCAAATGCATATCATATTCCAGCTATCCCTGTTTTCATTTTGATACTTCAAAAATCTATATCAAAGAATGACAATTCTGTCAGAATGCCAACAAAATGATTGTGTGAAAAAAGATTTAATAATACATAAACAATATAAAGAAAAAAAAAACAACATTGAACAGGATTGGTAGTTTGTACAGTTGTTTCTTCTATTTTCGTGTCCTGAGTAATTACGGCTAAAATTTCAATTTCTTAAGAAAAATATTTATAGTAAGGATACATCTAAATCATTCATGTTACAGCTTACCTTTTCTTTTGTAAAACCTTCTTCGTAAAATTACAAAAATAGCAACGAATGCAATTACAACAGCCACAGAAACAACACCCCCTATTACTGCTGCAATTTGATTCTTAGCCTCTCTTTCTAAAATGTAATAATGTAGTCACAGCTTTCATATATTAAAGTTAGTCTCTACAATGTACACGTTACAAATTATAATTACATAACTGTTTTACAATTTAATATACATCTATTTCAAAAACGGAACAAGTTTATTTATATTTGACTTTTTGTTTATTTTGATTAACGGCACAACAACATAATATAAGTCTTATGGCACCGAAACAGAAATGATGTTTGTGGCTAACGTTGGGTGTTAGAAATTTAAGGCAACACCAGGGGTCAAAACAACCTAACCTTCTGGAGCGAAGTGATGCATAGTCTCTAGTATCTAACTCTGACAGAAATAACGGTGGAAGAATATTATAAGATCACTATTGTTTCAAAATTAAACAAAAGCTGTATGTAATACCTCTTAATTTAAAAATACAAAATTACATATTCACCTAATCTATAACTATGAATTGTAAAATTGACAGTTGGCGATTCTGCTTCATTTATCCAGCCGATATCATTTCCAGTGCGTACTCTAGCATCATATACATTAGGTTGCAACCCGCTTATGTTAAAAGTAAAGGTAAGTTTCTCGGCCTGAAGAAATGCTGTATCAGTTTCATTAAATTTAAGTCGCTCCACCCAGTTGTCCTTTCCAACTTCAGTTGTTTCTATAATAAATGTTTGAAGAAGTCCTCCATTGAAATTGCCGACTAAACGAAATGTTGGTATTCCATCTTTGAGGCCGGTGTAATTGAAATACCTAGGAACTAAAGGCTTACCTAAAAATGAAAATGTTAAAAATGGATTTTAGACCTTTCTATCTGAAACGGACTTTGTAAACGGACTTCGTAATACGGAATAATTTGGGGGATTTACTCAAAACAATAATGCGCGGAAAATAAAATAATCAGTACGTTAAAACTGTATTACATCGGTTATTGCACATGTATATTCTTTAAATAGTATCTCATCAACATATTAAAGAAGAAGATAATATAACCATAATTTTTATAAAGACAAAAAAAAGTTTCCTAATTTATGTATTTATGTATTCTTTGTTGTAATGCTAATTAATTTTTCAACCAATGACCAACATGCTATTAAGTGTTGAAGGTAAATGTAATTACTGCTGTCCCTGCTGACGCCGAGTTCACAGTGTAGTTTTGGATTTTCTTTTAGGGGGGGGGGGATCTCCTGTAGAGAGCCTGATTTTCTCTTATTTGAATTACAAGGGAGTGCTTATTCCTCCTGCGATGAGCCGGTCTATTAAGTTGACCTGCTGCAACATTTGAAACACCCGGCCGGCACTCGTCGTATGTATATTTGTATAAAAATATCACTGTTACTAAGTATTTATTAAATGTAGTAATGCTTTAGTGTGACATTGCACGAAATTATCGAGAGTTAGAATTATACAATTATAGTACATCTGTTATACCGACTAACATTTAACCCTAGGTACTCAAAAGTTGCTGATTTTCTTAAAGTTATACCTTTGAGTGGGAGTGACTATTACAGTGTTGTCATTATTTTGGTTATGCTAAACAACAACTGTGTTACTTTTTGCTGCAACACTATTTGCATTGTATTAAGATATTTAGAATGAACGCTGGTAGGCGAAGGCTAACTTTTAGCATCACTTCCTGATTTAGTTCAATCCAGATGCTTCAGAATATAACAACCGTACATGGTTATGTTTAGTTGCCGTAATGATGCCACCTCTAGACTCTGTACTAGATATTCGCAACCTTTTATTTTCAAATGATTCGAATATATATTCCGTAGGAAACTTTTTTGTTCAAATGTTCTCAGAAAATGTATACAAGTTCTATAAAATAACTAGTAAAACATCAGAAACATTAATATAAACATTACATTACTTAGAATTACAGTGGTCAGTAACTATAATCTTATTGTTTGTGATATGGATACGATGTTACCCATCCCTAAATTATAACACTTTCCACCATGTTCAATGTGTGCACCAGGTATGTACATATTGAAATTCGCACATTCATACTACATTTTACACAACATTTGCGAATAACATCACTTGACCAACCATAGATCAGTGTCTTAGTAAACGTTGCAACTGGGAAAAACTGTATCCTGCAGTTGGTGCAATAGATGGAACAAGTGCGACCAATGGATAAGCCACAATAACGTGTATTGTCTCCATCTTAATTGTGCTGATAGTTTATAGAAATACTATAACTAGCATATCAGAGCTGCATTACTGGTACTGGTACTGCAGTACATACTGCAGCGATTTTGCAAGTACTGGCACTGATATTGAATTACTCTTACAAAATGTTGCTACTATTGGTACTGGTACTGCATTACTGGCCAGGATCATCAAACCAAGGTTATGATTACAAAGATGTTAACCTTGGAGACTTAATGAATGCTTTGAAGTCCTTTGAACAACGAACATCAATTTCTGAGGAGAGATTACTAAACGAAATGAAAGCAGTACGGAGTGTTGTAAATAGCATTAAAAATGAAATCGCACAAATTAAAACCGATTGCTCTCAAACTCGTGAAATCTTAAATGAAGTGATAAGTGAACAAGCAACTATGAAAATTGAATTAATGAATAATCGTGATAAAATGAATGATGTACAATCTATTTGTGAAAACCTACAACTAGATGTCAATAGCATTAATGATTCATGTGAAAGGCAACGTGATTTGTCTGAGGTACTAAATGAAAGATTAGAACATATCAAACGCGATCTGATCAAAAATAGAGCCAGAATCTTCGGTCTAGAAGACAGGCAGAATGAAACTAATGAAGAATTGAAAGAAAAAGTTCTTAAACAAGTACTTAGAGTAGCTTGTCCTTGCTATGGATTTAGTCTGGATGACATCAAATATGTACAGAGTTGGTGAATATAAAGAAAATTCTAATAGAATGGTTTTGCTGACATTCAGATATGATGATGACAAATATGTAACGTATAAAGGCAGAGACGAACTTCGATATAAAGGCTTACGCGTAGGTGACGACCTGACTAAAACACAGAGGGATAAGTTAAAGACAGCAAAAGCAATGGGCGTGAATGGATATTTCTATAAAGGTAAATTCTGTGAACGACCAAACCAGCAGAACAAACTAACAGGGAAGGATGAAGAACAATATCAAACCAGGGTATTTAAAAAGGCATTCCGCACATTTCCTAGAGAACAAACGTTGGATACTATCAAAGAATCTCAAGTTGAAATCACCAATGAAATGGAAATCAGTGAAGCAACCATATCTGGTGACAAGAACTAGGGATACGGCCAAGGCCCAGGAAATATGAACTATGTCAAGTTATTTTCTTAATATAGAAGGTGCTAACTCTAAACTTAATTGTATAGATACTGTCAAATATCTTAAATTATTTGATGTCATAAGTCTTTTAGAGGCATGGTGTATTAATTCAGAATGTATTCTAAGCATATTTCCAGAGTAAACTTGTTATTACATTGATGGCATGAAAAATAGAATTCATGGTAGAGCAATTGGAGGTATAGCAGTATTTGTGAAAAGGGATTTAAATGCTTTTGTAAGAAGAAGAAATCCAACATATGCATGTAGATTTGCAGTTATACTTGAAATTGTTAGTGATATATTTTCAAATAAGAAAACCGAACTCATTTTTACATATCTACCTCCAGAATCATCTCCATTTTATACAGACAATGTTAAAGGTGTTGAGCTTTTGGAAAGTCTCTTAAATGAACTTTGTATTGATGACAATGTTGAACTTATTTTGATGGGGGATCTAAATGCGAGGACTGGTATTGTTGCTGAATTTATCCAGGGAGTAAACGATTCAGTCGAAATAGATGCATTTGCTGATCTGTTTTCAACAGATGAACATTTCTCTACTAGAGTGTCTAATGATACAAAACTCAATACATTTGGTAAATATTTAATTGAAATGTGAAAATCTTCTTAATAACGTATCGCCAATGGCCGAGCTGAAGGTGATAACAGGGTTGGCCATTTGACATACATAAGTGGAACTGGTTGTTATGTTATATATTACTTTATAGTAACAGCTGATAATTTGAGTACTTCAATTTACTGTTGAAGAACGCTCAGAATCATCACGTGCCTATTACATGCAAAATACTAGTAGAAAATACAAAAAATATTGTATATAAATAGTAATGATAATCAACACAAAACACAAGTAAAGTACAATCTTAATAATGGAAATTATGCTGACTACAGAAACCAACTGCATAATATGATTACTCAAGAATTGGATTTTAATATATGTAGAATGATCGAGGACCTTGGTTCAGATATCAACCATATAGTTGATGTATTCAACAATCTTTTACATCAATGTGCTGAATGTTGTAAGAAGCAAACAAAGGGATTTAGAATACAGCAGCCAAAGCGGTTTGACACTGATTGTCGCACTGCCAAATATAAGAAAATTAAATCCTTGAGAGTATTTCGGAGAACCAGGTCTGACAGCAACCTCCAAATATATTTAAGTGCTCGTAATGAATTTAAAACTCTGTGTGACGTCAAATAAAATGAATATCATACTAAGAAATTAAACGAACTTATTGATAGTTCAGCTAATCCAAAATCATTTTGGAAACTTATTAACTCTATATGTGGTCAGAGAAGGACTGTAAATAATTCAATTACTCTACAAGAATGACAATCCTATTTTGAAGAATTATTTTGTTCACATACAGTACCATTGGACGAAAGTGCAGGAATGAACCATTTACAAGGTATTGAATTAGATGAACTGAAAAACTCTATCTTTAACTCTGAAATAACAGAGGAAGAAATTTATAGGGCTGTAAAATCCCTCAAAGGTGGTAAAGCTGGGGGAGAAGATCGAATAATCCCAGAATTTTTTATCATTGGAATTGATATGTTTATACACATACTTACTCGACTATTCAACAGAATGTTTGATACAGGTGAATTCCCAGTACTATGGAACCATGCTACTATTGTTACACTGTATAAGAAAGGGGATGTCAATGACCCTGGAAATTATAGGGGAATATCATTACTGGACATATGTGGTAAAATCTATACAAGTGTGCTCACCAGAAGAATTAACTTCTACGTAAATGCATACGAAAAAATTCAGGAGCCACAGTCAGGATTCAGAGAGGGTTATTCAACTACAGACAATGCATTTGTTCTCCAATCCATTATTTCCAAACAGATGTCAAGGCCAGGTGGTCGGCTACATGTGGCATTCGTAGACTTTAAGAAATGTTTTGACTTAAACAGACGTGATAAATTGTGGGCTGCCTGTACTAATAATGGGTTTAGTGGCACATTGCTGCAGGCTATGTATGGGATGTATAAGTCTGTTAAAGCCCGAGTTAGAACAACTGATGGTTTATCGGAACCATTCAACTGCCCAGTGGGCTTCAAACAAGGCTGTTTGGGGTCGCCATTTTTTTCGTAATTTTCATAAATGAGCTAGTAAAACTCTACGAAAGTTCTTCCACTCATGGAATACAGCTATTTCCAGACACATATGAAGTAAAATGTTTGTTGTTTGCTGATGATTTAGCTTCATCAGCTGACACTGTAGTAGGGCTACAAAGGCAACTAGATACGTTAAAGAATTTCTGTGACGATATGAGTGTTCAAGTCAATAAAGATAAGACTAAAATCATGGTTTTTAAACATGGCGGTTGCCTATCACGTCATGAAAAATGGAATTTTGATGGTACCCCAATTGAAGTTGTTAAAAGTTTTTCTTATGTAGGAACTACATTCAGCTCTAACCTTTCTTTTTCAAAGATGGCAAGTGAACAAGCAACGAAAGGCAAACGTGTACTCATTCACACATTATCGGAACTATATATCTATGGTCAGTTACCTAGACGTGTTTTCTTTAACATTTTTGACACTAAAATAAGCCCAATTTTATTGTATGGTTCAGAAATTTGGGGCGTTCACCGCCAAATCTCAATAGAACTGATACATAACTATGCATGTAAACGATATATGTGTGTAAACAAAAACACTATAAATGCAGCTGTCCTTGGTGACTGCGGAAGACATCCTTTATATATTACAGCTGCAAAGCGAGTTATTCGATACTGGTGCAAAATTGTGAAACTTCCTGACAGTAGATTAGTAAAGAAATGTTATAATATGCTATTGTATCTATCAAATAATGGAAAGAAAAACTGGGTTACAGATGTTCAAACATTATTATATTCAAATGGTATGGGTTATGTTTGGGACAATCAATATGTGCAAAATCAGCAGCTATTCTTAAATCAGTTTGTAACTAGATTAAGAGATGAATATTTACAAAATTGGCATTCTCTTATAAACGATTCTCATAAACTTGTTCTTTATGCCATGTACAAACAAAACTTTTCCCATGAACAGTATCTTAATGTATTAGATATACGTAAATTCCGTAGCGTAATGGCACGATTTCGTACGTCTGCACTTGACCTTGAAATTGAACGTGGTCGATACAATGGAGTAGAGAAGCAATTAAGAATATGTAAATTATGTCAAGTTGAGGTAGAAGATGAGTACCATTTCTTATTAAAATGTTCTAGACTTTCAAACATTCGAACACAATTTATTCCTAGAAAGTTTTATGACAAACAATGTATTCAATCATTTGTTATTCTGATGAGTAGCAGAAACCACTCATTAATTAAAAATGTTGCTATGTATATTTATTATGCTCAATTAGAAAGAAAACGTATACTTGAACAACTTTAGATATATACTCTGTATAAGAAAGTTACTGTATTGATATCACTATATATGCTCTTGTATCACAGTAAGCATTGTATTATATGTATTTATGTCATTTGTTGATCTTGGGCCGCTGGCCATATGTCCATAAACTTTTTGTCATTGTTAATGTCTTAAAAAGTAGTACTGATACTGCATTACTAGGCAGTACTTTGGGTTTTGATAAAAATTGCATCATTTTTTCTCATAAAATAAAGCTGTAAATTACATTGTTTTATTTTTGTGAAAAAGTAAGTTATCAAATCCATAGATAATTTGCTGCAATTCTTCAAATGTTAACATAGAATTCATCATAAAAAAGCACCAAAGACTTTAAGTAAAAAATTAATTGAGATAACTCTTTATCCAAAAAAAGCATTATTAAAATCGTTTATTATTTTGTATTTACTAGTAAAAGAGCAAAATAATCATTATTTAATTGCTTCTATTCTAAATAATCCTATTTCAAGTGATATTGTTAGCACCATAAAAAGTTGTTATATACTTTGGTATATATTGAACACAGATGTGAAGGTGTGAAAGGCAACAAAAGACTGTTGTGTTTTAAATGAAAGATGATTGCATTGTATTACAGTTGACTGGTTACTTAACAATAAGATATGACATGAATATATATTGTAAATATTGTTTGTAAAAAGTATGTTAAAACAATCAAGTTGTAAGAATGTTATGTAAAATTTAAAGTAAATTATGATTTTATTTCTTTGCTGAAAAATATTTGCAATTATTTGTTTGACACTGTATTTATTCAAACTTTGATGAATATATATAAAGTAATGGTACTGATACTTAATTACTTCACCAAAAAAGTACTGGTACTGCAGTACCGAGCTAAAATCTAGTACTGGTAATGGTAATGGTACTGCATAATTTCCCAAGTACTGGTACTGGTTCTTAAGTACTACACCCTTAGTACTGATGCAGCTCTGTAGCATATGCATGTAAGAAAACCCGCTGTATTACAGTTTTAGCAAATTGATATATTTTGAGAAAATCCCCAAATTTATTCCGTATTACGAAGTTCGTTTATGAAGTCCGTTTAAGATAGAAAGGTCTATTTGTCGCTTAGGATATTTAATCATTATTTTCTAATGACTTTTTGCTTGATAAAAGAACATTTTTGTTTAAGAAATAGTTGTTCTGTAATGTGCTTTTAAATAGTTTGCAATTTTCTCACTTCAAAGAGTGATATATAGCATTTCCGCTCTGTACAAACAAATACCCTTTGTTTATCTTAAAAGCAGAATTATGCTCAAAACTATTGTACAAAAAGCCTTCTTTATATTTATGTAAGTATGGTTTTATTTTTATTTGCCCTGATGATTATAGAAACCGGTAGGCAATAAATTAAATTGAGAAAATCTTTTAAAAAATGTAAGGTATATTTTTTCTTGTTCCGGCACTTTTTATCATATCTATATGAAGGGCCATCATATTATAGCATACATGGATAAAATTTAATCGATGCGCATCCGACATAACAGTTACATGGATTAATGTCAAAGACATTCTCAGTATCAATGGAATCTTTTTTGAATTCCTTTTAAAGCATAGCTGTATTCTGATTGCCTTAATGAACATATACTTCTTTTAGAAATAAGAAGACCATGTATGACAACATTTTCGTTGTATAAGAAAATAAAACATCTTAACAGAGATTCACAAAAACTGCCTATTATGTTTTACACACTTTTCCAGACTTTAAAGTCAATCAAACTGAGTCTACAATTCTTATGTAATTTTGTTGTGATTAATGCTTCCGAGGGATCACTTTGTTTCTAGAATTTTTTAATTGTACCAACTGAATGATTTGAGCATCAACAGCAATGCAATAAAATATACATAAGCAATTTTCTTCTTAAATTTCAATGACAGTAGTGCAGAAATAGTAGCTATGAAAATTTTGATAGAAAACATATTTTTGCGCATACGATGTTACTCCAAACACTAGTATTACAGAGTGTTATTTTCTGAACTGATAACAATAATAAGGACATACTTTGGGAGACATGTTTCAAAATCCATGATTTATAAGATCCAATCCCATTATCAATGACCAAGTTGTAGTTAACAAAATCTGATTCTTCCTCATTCTTGATTTGAAGCTGAGCAAAGTACCCGTCTATCTCCACTTCTTTTCCATAAAACATGTCCTTGACGTTTCCTTTATAGAATGACACTGCATGTTTGCTAGAGTTAATTATCATGGTGCCATTTTGGAATTTGAATTGCACAGTTTGAGGTGGGGGGTCACTGTAAAATGGTGCCGTTATATTGACTGTGGTCATAGGTGCTCCAGCAAATATCCTGTCGGTAATTTTTAAAAGCATTTTTGGTGAAACTGAAATATAAAATAAGCATTCATCATACATTTCAATAAATAATAAAGTCAATAAAACTGATCTTGTTAATCACACCTGGAATGAGTATTTGGAATTTGAATTGAACAGTTTTAGAGGGTTGGTCACTGTAAAATGTTGTTGTTATATTGGCTGCAAATCCCAGTTTCCCGGAGTATTTTCTGTCTTTTACCTTTAAGAGTATCTAAGGTGACACTAGAATATTCCTAAAAAAAAGCAAATATTCCAAACAAAAGACAGTTTAAACATGTAAGCAAATAGTGTAAAAAATTCTAAATAATGATATTTTTAGGTTGAAAGTATTTGAGTGTTTACTTTACAATATCCCTGATAAGGTATAACCAATGGATATTTATAAAACGCTTTTGATTTTTAAAATAATATTTTCGTTTATCTCAACTCATCAATAAATGGTTTTTTTACTGCAAATTTGTATCAATGTCTACATTTTTGAGATTTATTATTATTTGTTTAAAATATTACAATAAAAGGCATGTATAGTGATGTTTATTCTATTTCCTTTTTAAAGAAATTAGGAACTTTAGGCTTTTGTAAGATAATCTTAGACTAAGTCTTTGTTTATATAAATATTAGAAACTGACGGTGATAGAACGGAATTCTCACTTGCGAAAATTGATATCAATCAAGGCTTTAGCAAACAACTTTTTTTTTAGATCTTTTTTAGATTGTTTGACCTTGTCAAGATTCCTTCTGACCTCAGCAGGATGTATTTTTCCTTTTATTACAAAATTAACTGAACGAATGGAATAACTAAAATACGGCACAAGGTATGCGATAAGGGCCTTTGGTAATGTCAGTAAATTGATAAGAAAGAGCTATATTAACATAACATTACGGACTTTTCCCTCTGATATCGTATCAGTCTATAAAATTACGTCTCATACGAGATATAAAATAGAACGAGAGAAAAACAATAAATACATGGAATTTCGTTATTTTCTAAACTCATTTGACATATGTATTTGAATTAACAGATTTCGGTGGCAGATGCGCAATTTGAAAAACTGACATCATCGTCAGAAAACGCAACGAATTTTACCGGGGATATCTTAGTTGTCCCCTTGCCTATTATTAACATGTACCAAATAGTACCATTGAAATTTATTCTTATGCATATATAAACTGTCAATAAGTAGTCACAGTTTCATGTTTAACGGAAAAAACTTAAGTGTGTTTTTAACGAAATTGTAACATGATTATAACTTTGTTTTATTCTGTGTTGTTGTCATTTTTTAGTTCATATAAAATATAATGTTTGTGCGTCATAGTTAAAGCGGCGTCTTATTAAGGTAGCGATATCTACAAAAAAATGGATATGACGAACAAATTTTTTCAATCGTAGAATACATCATACATAAAGACAGCACTGTGCATCATCAACAGATGGCTCTCTTATACACGAGCAGACGAAACCAGATGATTTCCCCACCGTTCATGATCACGAATGTAGGTGTTAATTAATTTTGATTACTTACAGTAAAGTCATATCATTTACATGTAAATAGATAAAGTTGTTTTTATGTGTCTTGCAACTAGAGCAGTACATTTTGATGATTCGTTCATCGCAGCATTTCAAAGTTTTACGTCTAGAACAGGAAATCCTAAGAAAGTGTACAGTGATGAATTGTGTTCATTATTTATTGAACAGTAGAATGTAACTGAATATTTTCGAGAAATAAATGATATAGACCTTTACTCGTTTAGACATATTTCAAACCAAGTCCTCGAACACCTTATACCAAATGCATCCATTCTTGAATATCAAACTGAAGCTTACACATCGCATTTAAGCCTTAAATAATTAGAACCAGACTACAAAATTTTTGTTACCCGCCCCTTTTCCCCTTCCAAATACGATTTAAATTTTTTTAAAAAAAATTAAACCCGTAAAAGTGAAGAATCGGTACAAAAAAAAATCGAAAAAATCAGGGTACATAATTTTTTTTTTAAAACTACGAGCAATTGTTTATTCCCTTTTAAAACCCTTTTAAAATTATATTCCTGGCAAATTTCATCCAAATAAATAGTCAGAATAACACCTTATTATCATAAAATGCATAAGTTAATAAGTATTGACATTTTTCAACTTAGAAATGCTCTCCGTAACATTTCTGACCGTTATAAAATGCACTTTTTTTTTTGACTGGGTTAGTCAACTCAGATTTATAAATTGCCCTTCGATTATTTCCGGAAATATTCGGATTGGAGTCACGTGATTAATATATGAATTATTATCAAACCAAAATATTGGCGGACAATATACGAAATGTGAGAAACGTACGAGAAAGGAAATTCAGGTTCGTAAAGGAAAAGGCGGAAAGTGAATAGAAACAGTTCTTTTCATTCAAGCAAGGATATGCCTGGGTATTGAATCAAGCCAGTGAAAAGTTCCAATAGCAACTGTGAAGATACTACTGTACTATGTACATGTACATTTTCTGATTTACAGGTGATCATATGAGCTTTATATTTTGTTTGATTTTTATTTTTTCTTGGTCTTCATTTATTAAAAAAATAACCTATAAATATAAAAACATATATATTGCATTATAGTTTTTATAATGGTATTGACATATGATAAAGATAGTTTGCAGATCCACGTCTGTAAGTTAAGTTTTCGATCTCGGTAATATTCGTACCCTTTAAGTTAAACTGTTAAATAAAAGGTCAGCTAAGCCCGATCCATTAGGAATTTATAAGTTAATAAGACATGTTATTATCATTGTAATACTGTTAAAGATTTTGAGAAAAATGTTAATTACCGATCACATTATTGTTGTTACTGTCAGTGTAAATAGAATGATAGGCTGTACAACTGGCATAGCAACTACATTGCTGTGACTCAAAAAAGGTTAAAACGTTTGACTAACAGAACAGACATTTCTCTATAGTATGTCCAACTATAAAGGGTAGATCTAGTCCTTTAAATATGACGTCAGTATGATATATTTTTGCTTTGGGGTAAGCTTGACGGACATAAATTAGCTCGTAAAGTCTGATATATTGGACTACTATCCAGGGGTGTCAAATCTCCAAAGAAATAAAAGAGAGGAAAAAAATTAGTTCAAAAAATACATCAATATTTTTGTCTCCTTTCCGCAGTTAAAGTTATGGAATGGCTTTGAATAATAAAGATGTTAAACCTTTTACTAGTATGCTATATTTTCAATAACAGAAAAAGATCAAAATTTCATCATAATCATGTGTTGCAATACCAGGGACATCAAAGATTACCTCGACCTAAATGCATTTGAAGCGGAAAATAAGGACTCGATCTTTGCCGAAAGTTTTTGAAAGGGGCCAAGTGATGACAGGCTATAATTGTATTAGATTTCAAAAAATATTTTGAGTTACAAAACTTTGAAAATATCAGTGGTTTGTATAGCAGAATTATGTCTTGCATCTGAAACTGACAAGTATTTTGGACAAGAAGAGCTATTTTTGATCATGAAATTTTAAGGTTGAACGTACATGGCTAAAAGGGTCCAACACATGTACAGTACTACTTTCATGTATCCTGAAGAACTTTATATCGAAAACTGATTAAGTTAAAATACAGTGGAATACATGTTTATATTGGTTTATTGAACCCATGGACATACAAGGCAACATGTGATCCATACATATTATGACTAGATATTCATATTTTTAAACTACGAAGGCAAGACTTACTTTTTATAGAAAAGAATGATAAATAAAGTATCACACTGGTTGCCCAACCATTCAAACATATTTGAGCTGACAATGAATAAAACTTGGTTTTCATGATAGTTTTATAAAATATATTTTTAGATATTGTTCTGTACTATCTCGTTTATTATTTTGTCATGCCTCAAGGTCTGTTTTTACATTTTGTTAGAAATGACTCTACTTTTCATGCATGTGCAAAAAACATATATTTTTCAATCTGTTGAACTTTTTGTGCTGTCATAAGCTTTAATGTGGTACACAAAGTTAAAAATATTATTCAATTATATATTTTGATATACATATATATATCATTCATTTTATCTAGACTTTTTTTTAAAAATAAGATAGAGGTTACATTCACTTTGGCATTGGTTTTGACGTCCGCAAACTTGTACATTGTCAAAACTATTAAAGTTTTTGCTGTATTGTCTTCATACATGGTCACAACAGCTCATTAAACAAGACCTTTAAATACACCAGACTTATTATGACCTTTATTCATTAATGACATTGATCTTCATGTGGAATGTCAAAATTTATTTTGGCTTTGTTTGCTTTATGCTTTTAGTGGATCTAACTTTGTTTTTAATTGATTGTCTTTAAACATGAACATATTAATGTTTTAGTATAGATCTTCACATTCACCAGACAGACTTTGACCTTCACTCATAAATACATTGACCTTGAAATTATTGAATTTCACACTACATCAGAAAAGGTTGAACTGACCTTGAGCTTTAAATGACCTTGACAGTCAAGGTCAAAGTATTGTATTTCGGTTAAGTGGTCATAATCTTTGTTACCTATGTACAGATTTGATTCATATGTTGGCAAAACAACACTTGTGACCAAACAAATATGTGGATTTAGGTATGATATTGACCTTTAAATGACATTTTGTAATATTAAATTCTTATTGTATGTTTTAACTTTGTTATTTATTTATGGAAAGGATTCATACTTGGAAAAAATAACAAGTGTGACTAGACAGACCTATTAAAATTCAAAAAAGAAAATATATATATTTTTTAATTTCTTTTCACTGACTTTTTTCAACAGTTTAATTGTTTGCGTTCAGACAAAGTAAAATGGCCAAGCGTTGTCTCCGCTCAGTGGTGGTTCGTGTTGGATGATCCACTGTACTTTCGCCTTTTTGAGTAAGATTTTTTGTTACTAGTCCATGTATTGTTTATTGTCTAGCCCAGTTTATTAGGCCATTGAGATAGAGGCACTTTATGTAGTAACTTTGTTCAATTAAACAAAAAAAGCCTTAAAATTACCACACTTTTAAATTTACTCCCTCAACTCATTCCAATTTAGATAGGTAATGTGGGTCGATATATATATAAACATATTTATTTTTTCGAAACTATTTGTTCTTGTTATTTTGTTTATCAAAATAAGATGGAATTCAAACAAATTGTAATTGTTTAGCATCTGTTTAAAGATTAAAAACATATTTTCAGTTTTATTCAACAAATATCCCAACATTTGTATATTTACAATTTAAAAAACGGGAATCAGATATAAAGATGTGATTCTTATTGACACGCTCCGCTTCCATGTTAAGTAAAAATTAATTCCTGGGAAATAAAATATTTTAGGTAGCTGTGATATTTGTGGGTAGGTAGTTGGAGGGGAAATAAACAATATTAAGGCGTTACCCTAAGTGGTTATTTTTTGCTTGGTAAGAAAATAGCCCATCCCCAGTCAATGATCAGGATGGCATTAAGTATAACATCTTTTAAATATCTGTAACATTGTATGTATGGTTTATGTAACTTAGAAGGAATACAGCTAATAGTTTTTTTTTTAAATGAGTTCATTTGATTATAAGTTCAAGGCTTCAGTAACATGTAAATATATTTCCCGAATTTTTGAAAATTTGCAATGGACATTGCTAGGACTAGTAATTGGGGTAAGTACTTGGAGGTAATTAGTTCACAATGGCTTTTAGCATAATATCTATTCCCTCCAACAATTTTTGAAAATTTGCAATGGACATTGCTAGGACTAGTAATTGGGGTAAGTACTTGGAGGTAATTAGTTCACAATGGATTTTAGCATAATATCTATTCCCTCCAACAATTTGGCCATCTGCACCTTTTCTCTTCATGTAAGGACAACATGGATTAAACTTTTACTGTCAAGACGTCACCGGTGTACAATTTTGAGAGTAGGAAAAGGAAGATATGGTGTTCATTTAAACACGTTATTTTTGTTCAGCAACTGCCATTGTTCAAATACGTCAATGTATCTGTGTTTTTGTTATTTTAACATTTAGAAAGGTGTCATAAAACATTCGAAGAGAAGTGGAGTGTAAATTAACATTTAACATCACAAAATTGTAATATTGCAGACTCGGTGAGTCTGTTCATGTATGATAATGGAAAGTTCAAGTTTCATGCCCCTCTAGCACCGGCCAAACCAGAATTCAACATTTAATTAAGTGGTGAAATTTTGAATTTAGAATCATCCGCAGAACATAACACATTTAAATTAATTTGTTTGCTTTATATATATGATGAGAAGCTACAGCACAATTCCTGCAGGGAAACTGATTTTTAATCTAAATAATTTAGTTGTTTAAGAGTGGTTACTCTTGATTAGTTAAAGTCCAAGCTTTGCACTAAATAGCAACGCGAGACACAATTTTCATATGGCAGAAGATTTATGCAATATTTTAGGGGATAGTAAATACTAGTTAAATTGTGGAAACACAAACTTTTATTTAAAAAAAAATATCAGGGGTAGGATTGTATCCTTTATGCAATGCTGCTTCAGTAGAAGCAAAAAATAATTCATAAGTAATAAAACTTTTTAACCTAATTATAAAAAGAAGAAAAACATGTCTGATTTGATAAATATAAAACAATTCTCTTTGGCTCGGATGCCTTAATTCTTACTTGCAATTGATAAAATATTGGTAACTGTTCATGGTTTAGCAATTCATATTTAACAGATGGTTGCTTAGCAGAGGTTGCACTATGTTTGTATTAATTGGAATGAAATCTCGCATTTGTACATTATTCAGCATAATGTGCAGTTTTACAAAAGGCTGTTACAAAAACAAGGTCTTGAGTAATTATTTTCAAAATTCTAGGCATCTCACGATAATTAAGTTCTTTTCCATTTCTCATTCGCTTATTAAATACAAGTATATGCATTATCATAAAGCATTCGGTCGCCGGAGTCTATACATGTAATGTATGTATTGGCTTTTGTATGTAGTTTTCTAGTTATTTAATTTGGTGATACCCTAAACTTTATAACATCAGATTGACAAATTATCTTTCCTTTCATTATATCAGATATCATATGCTTGATCTGTTTATAATCAATTTATATTTAATTAAATAATATATACATGACGCGCAAAATGCCAAATAATTTATTTTGATACAAAAATTAAGGAAGCTAAGCAAATCAATAGCTTGGTACGTTTTATTTTGGTACGAACCGATCATAAAGAACGAACGTGTTAGAATTCCTCTGTACTTTCCCGATTTCAACACCAATGTTGAAATAATCTCAACAACCGTACGACATGAAACATGTTTGATTTTTATTAGAATTTTTATCTGTTTGTTTACAATACAATAGGCAGACGACGGATTGTTCTTTTTCCGATTGTTTCGTAACAAACTTTCAAACAAGCGTTATCATATAAACAGCTTTTCATATCGTTTATTAATTACAAAACATAAAATTGCATCACTCTTAATACTCATCTTATAAAATTGAATGACAACTGATGTGTCGCAGTTTTGTTGATGATTCTAATTAAAGCATTTCCGAACTTTTTTATTAATACCGACTGAAACCGATCGATCCCAATAGCATTTACAAATGACAGGGATTTCGAATATTGACGATGTTATATCCTGTTGCATCCGAGTGTTTCGACGAAATGAAATTAAAAATGAATTGCAGTTCATCATTAATGATGATATACTTATGATTTAGGTAAAAAATTATGAAATCTAAGGTGTAAGGTAAAATACCCTCGTTCAACGGGACTATATCTTTAATCTATATAAATCGATTATTGTTTTCTAAATACCGTTTAACTCTTTTATGTTCTGAAAAAAAGTAACCGTGATAATTATAGGGACAATATCACCATGTACTATTATATGACCGAGTGAACCCTTTACTGAAATTTTGCTGCTTCTTTAACTTTTGAACTGGTTTGACAAAGTTACGTAACGGATATATATGGCTCCAATGGTACAAATTTTACTCATGTTTGATTTTCTTGAAATATCGTGGTTGGAGACATGTAGCTGTATATACAGTTTTTAAGTAGATCTGGAACTTAAATTTGTTAGATTAACCTAATTTATCCCGTTTTAGAAAAATTGATTCTTGAATTTTACAACCAACTTTTATTTTGATACTACTTTTTAAATATATCATTTTGTTTTAATTAGTTTGATAACATAACACAGACTGTTCCCTTTGTGGAAAAATATCCCTGATGCGCCAATTAAATGTACAGCTCTCCGGCGTATAATCTTTCAATCATTAAACAAATGAAGTGTAAAACAAACTTTCATTATGATACTATATTCAATTCTCAAAAACTTGTGTATTTATTAATGGAGATTGAACAAAGATGCATGGAATGTGTGATAAATTCTTGTCCGAAGAAAAGATATATTTTGTTTTTCTAACAGTTAATCGTGAGGGAGGCACCAACAATTGAATGCTTCCGATAGTACAAATATAAATACCCATTTGTATGCGCACTGTTTTATAGATATAGCTATTAATAGACTTGGATTTTTGAAAAAAACCTATGTGGAAGTTTCTTCTTATAAAAATCAATATAAATTTATCATTTCCTATTTTCAATTAAGGTTCCAATTTTAATGCTTGGAACAAAAATGCAGTTTACATATACATAATTTTTCTTAACATGTCAAATCAGCCCTTTTTATGTGTATCATAAAACAAACTCAGTACATTCAGCGCAAGTAGCATGAAGAAAAAAATCAAGAAGCTTCTAAGAATTCCAGTGTTATATTAATAATCACAAACCTTTAACCTTGACGGTGTTGTTTCCACTTTGATCAAGCTTCTGTTTCCTGTCTCGAATGCCATTATTTGCAACACAAATATATGTACCGCTATCTTGAAGTTGAGCATTTTGTACTTCTATGACACCATTGGTTGGATTAAGTATTTTAGATATAACCACATCTCCCCATTTATGTACAATTGACGAGAAATGATAATCTGCAGGCCTTCCTTCAGGTTCACATTTAACTGTCAAGGTGTAGTTCTCAGTTGGATTCAGGCTACTTACATTTACAGTGACATCTGGTGCATCTAAATATAATTTAAAAAATTGTATTAAAATGATTAATACTAATGCACAAGAATCTGACAATTTTAAGAAACATTCATGTATAAATAAAGTTGAATTGTTTGTTCTATGTAACAGATGTCGGAAATAATTTCATCATATCTTGCTCTGATTCAAAAAGGTTCAACCTTCACAATGGACGTTTGAAATGTTATACACGGCGCTGACATCCGGTACATATTGATGAATTCAATAAATGTGCAAATATAATAAGCTAATCCGAACAAAAAATGCAGCGTATGCTAATAAAAAAAAACTAAAAGGAGTTATGCCATGAACTGGAATAACATGTCTAAACATTCAACATGTTGAGCAAACTAATGACTTTGAAATATAAACTGATAAGTATTCTGTGATAGGCAAACAATACTTTTCGGCAAAACCCAAACCGGCCTAATGCAAATCCGGTTCCAAGATTTATCGGCTTAATTTCACAGTGTTGATAATAAACCTGATTTATGCATGTTAAATGAAATGTTTTGAAGAATATTTTCAAAATTGGAACTTGCTTTAAAACAAACTACTACTTACTTTTATGTATTAATGATATTTGTAATTGGGAATAAAATGCAAAAAGAAAATTCTAATTTTAGAACATGTATAGGTACAAGGTCCGACACAAAATCAAATTTATACCTCAAATCTTTATTTACGTTTCATTGATACATTCTGCTTAGCGTTATCTTTATAAACTGTGTACAGTTCTCTTTTACTATACAAATATACATGTATGTCAATATTTGTTTATAATAGATGTTATCTATAGACTCAGCAAACGTGGTTTTTAAGCTTATTCCCGGTACAAACACACTTTAAGTGTTGTAGTTTTACGGTTCGCTACCGATCACAGTAGATAAATCAACATTTTGCACTTATTTTCGAAAGCTGTGACTAAAATGTGTTTGCATCCCCGGACTTGTTGGGAAATTCAAAACTGTTCTTAATACAGGGGTTGATTTATTTCTAAACATAAGAGGTACATCCATAAATATTTGGAAGGAGCAGGAAAATATAACAACACTGAAGCAAAGTACGGGGCATTTTTTTCTGGCTGCCACAAAGCATTTGACAACTTCTGTTGTGATGTATAACTATCTGGAAAACAAGCGATCTCTCAGAACTATTGAAGACAGCAAAATTACCTGAAAATTGCAGACTCAGTTTTATTGAGTTTACATACATTAGGGATAATGAAAAAGTGCAACATCACTTCCGTCCCTAGCACCGGCTTGAGTGCTATACAATTTTCAACACTTTAAAGCACTGGACCAAATGATCCCTTTTGCCATGATTATTTGAAATTGTACTGTGACGTCATTCTTTTTATAATAGCATCGACCTACTTATATTATTACAAATGGTTTTGGTCGGTTATTTCGAACAAATGGTCCTTAACTATGTGAGTTCAAATCACATCAAGGATTTTGAGTATTTCATGTCAAGTAGCTTTCTAGCTAGCTAACGGAAAATTGGCGGTTATTCTTATATTCTTAAGTCTAAGTGGTAAACGTCATACCGACTTAAACAAACCGATCAGATATTTGTATGTGTGCACGCAAGCGTGCTAGTGTCTGTTTGTAGATTTATCATAAAATTTAATAAACGTTTTTATCAATATCAGTACGTACTTAATTGTAGAGACTTTTTCAAAACCATAAGATTAATTTTAAATATACGGTAATAACATTTTTCATTTTTAAAATCAACAATTTCAATACATAACCATAATTACCATAGTTATATGTCGTAATTGTTTTGAATTAATTGCATCACCAACAAAATATAAGAAATATATATAGAGCACTGAAATATTGAATGACATTAATAAAGCATGAACAAATAAGATATGAAACATATTGCTGTAAACATATGTCTAAACAAATAACAAGTACAATATGATTGACAATCAAAATGTGTATAAATAATAAAATGAATAAATAAATAAGATAAAAACGGAAGGTATAAGATAAACGATGCAAATATGTCAGTATTATTCGATAGATTTAGACTGCATATGCCTTTAATTTGACTGTTTTATAATTACCACACAAAAAAAAAA